ATATAATGGTGGGACACTGTAAAATATATATATATATATATATAAAGATAAAAATATGGAGAAAACATGGAAAATATTAAAGATTAATGAAAAAAGAAGAAAAAATATTTTTGAAAACATTTAAAACGGCTTTATTTATATGAACGAAAAATTTGTAAAAAGCCGGAAAACAAAATAATGAAAAGATATAATCTCTTCATCTGCTCACACGATCATATCAGCTGAAAGGAGTGCTTTCTAATGTTGTATCTATAAAGCTAAAGCAAAATATATCAATACAATAGTGTCAGGGGCTATTAAAAGAATTTAAACGAAAATAGAACAAATTAAGTAAAAACTATATATGAAATAAAGCGTATAAAGCAAAAAAACAGAAAATAAAATGTAATGAAAATATGAAACACAACACTAAGCAAAATCTAAATAGCGAGTATTGAATTTAATTGAACTTACAAGTACCGGAATATTTCAAGAATGATTTAAAATATCTATGTTATAAGATTGCCAGATTACAGTTTGCAATGTATGCAATAAAAGTTTTCTCCAACTGGGTAATTATTTTCAATTGTCATTCAAAATTTTAAAAAAAGATTTTCGGAAATGACAATTATTATAAATTACACAATATTTGAGGGACATATTTAATATCTGCCTTTAAATATAACTTTGTATAAAGTCTATCCACTAAGTTACCTTTTAAATAAGGTAAATTGTTTTTATGTATCTGAATTCTTAGACGTCAATTAAATTTATTAAGTGCTTCTATTTATTTTATATTCGACGGCTTTATTTCAATATATATATATATATATATTTAAAAAAATCTGTTAAGTAAACTAATATTTGATTTCTCTATGCTTACCTAATACTTGTTTGTCAAAGACTTAGCAATTTGCTTAGATTTTATGCATTTATCTTCTGTTGCAATTACTGTTACTTTTTTAAGTTATTTCGGAATTTGTAAAAATACTAGAAGTTGTATTTTAAGTGAAAATATATTGTTTCCATAAGTTACTTCAGCACTATCTCGTAATTAAATCATTAAGTTACGAAATTTGAAAAGGACGTCAAATCGCAAGAGATAAAATGTCACAAAATGGAGCAAACTTATACTTCGTTTTAACCAATGATAATCATATTGAAAACTTTGCACTGGATGCACCGTAATCGCAATTGAAAAAGTTGATAGATATTTCTTTCCTAAAAACGTTTAGTTATGAGTTAAATTAACAAAAAAGGATTAAATTATTTACCATGTTGTTTAATAATCAAAATTACATTATCTATGACACTGATTTCAGATTTTTTTTCTTTGAAGAATATTTATTTAAACCCTTATATATAAATTATGACTCTGATACTCTAATAAATAAAAAAATTAATACACTTAATACTGAAAAATATATACTAAATCAAAAATAACAATAAAACATAAGATGTGGAAAGTGGAATCGAATTGATTGAATTGTATTGTACAATTACCTTATTCCAAAACTAATATTTTTTCATTGGATAAGATAAAATAAAATAATGGTATTTTAATAAATTGGAATTGTTAATCTCCGTGCTATTAAATGTAAGATGAATTTAAAATTATAGGAAACTTAGCTTATAAAATGCTCAAGAAATGCTTCATTTTACATTTTATTATTTCTTTTAGTATTCTTTGTGTTTTACTATTAGTCAAAAATCTTTGGAAGAGAGCCATTTCATATCAAATAAAATATACGGAAGTAATTTCAGAAGTAATTTAAATGGCAGCTGGGGGTCGAAAATGTCCATCCCATGACATGGTTGTTCCATCTCATGACATGAATCCGAATACTAGCATTGACACCACAATATTTTCTTCACTCCTTCAACATTTGAAGAGTTTCTGAAGTCTTGCATTTTTAATTGTTGACCCTACACTATTAGAATACGAAACCATCTTTCACGCATAAATGGCACAGCATCCACAGAGCTCCCAAGTCTGTTTAAGTGTTATTTTCATGGTTAATTAACTATGCTAGTTATAAAATTATTACAAAGCCAAATAGTTTTGCACTCATGGTTTTTAACAGCACCACTTTCAAACACTTTCAAACCGAAAAGGTAAAGAAATCTAAACGTAATCGTTAATCAGATGGACTGACTGTTGCTGGTTATTTTACCATAATTTCAGAATTAAAACTCTGACAGTGTTAGCAATTAGTACATTTACATTCAACTCAAAACCATTCCTTTTACAACCATGAAAACTAGAAATTACCGAACAAAAACAGCAATTGCATTTTTACTCGCTTTCAGTTTACGAGAAATACTTAACTTAATGTATAACATTAGTGAAACATACAAAATAATGAATCAAGACACTAGAACCACTCAGTAATTTCCACTTAAAACGTAATTAACATCTTTTTTTTTCTTCTGTTAAAATATCTTTATTTCATAAATCTCATTTTTAAGATACCCCTATCCCCGTAAAAAGATTAAATCTTGATGTTGAGTCCCCTGAAAAGTCATAACATTAAAAAAAACACAACGATTTAGCACTTCATAAGTTAAACAACACCATTTATCATAACGCATTCTTTTTACTGAAGGTAGCTTTCATCAGCATAAAAAATGTTAATGTTTATTTTTTTTTCAAAGAAAATAATTTAACTTCTTAACTTTTCTCTTCTCAGCAGAATTTAATTAAGTTTTCTCCCCATTTATATCATCAAACAATTTTTATTCGAAATCTACCGAGACAGATAAAGCTAGTCTTACAGAATAATATGAGGCGTTCTACCATGTAATCAGAGTAAAATTGAAATGAGAGATTAAATTGATAAAAAAAATAGCCACTCCCTATTTTCAATGGACTCATTTGCTTAAGGCTAGGTACTGTAATGAGTTGTTTTTATCAATTTAATTCAATTCTTCTAAAAAATAAATTCTTCACAAGATCTTTTTTCTTCTTAAAAAACAAAACCGTGATATTCTTGCAGTTCCTAGTAAATTAAATATGACTCAACCAAAGGAATATTTTTTAACTAAAAATTAATAAAATTATTGAGGAAATATTTGAAAAAAGCTTTCTTTCTTTTAATGAAATAAAGCACTTTTCTTTCTTTTTACAATAAGGATTGTTTGATTATTCTATATGGTATGATGACAACAAAAAGTTTAATACTCATACCATCTAATTATTACTAAACGGAAAATTTGAACTGCAAATAAAACACTTATTTCAACCTTATAATTGAATAAATTTTATTTAATGATTGTTTTTAAAAGTAAAGTATATTTGGAATAAAAAAATAGCGTTCTTTTAAGAAACCAGATCTTTTCTGTTTTCTTGGAATTATATATTAACACTAGAACAGATGGATTTTTGAATCACGTAAAACAGCCATTTGGGATCAATTTGACACTCACAAGGAAAAAAAAATTTTTTCAAAGAAAATGTTTTTTTAAAAGATTAATATTACTTAAAGTAGGATATGGGAGTTTATAGAGATTTTAATTTCCTTCCAATTTTTTATTACATTACTGGCAATATTTCATTATAATGTAATATTGTGTTGCTGATTATTCTTTCCCAAAAGCGCAACATGTTTTAAAATATTAAGTTCTATCTTCAGTTGGATATTAGAATAGGCATATATGTTATACCCGCGTGACGTGAAAGTGACAACAAAACATCGACTAACTATTTACTAGCGTTTCGCATGAGCGTTTAGGGACTAAAGTTTATCGAGTAGATCTTATCCGATGAGCAAAGTACTAATTTATAGTTCTTCAACAAACACAAGAATGAACTATCAATAAGTAATTGGGGTGGCAAAGGATTCAAGCAATGTTATAAACAAGCAACGTTGATCACAACCGTTGTAACGAAATTACATATGAAGTAACACCTATTGTAGAATAATTCCAAAGCATGTAATCTGCTAAGTTTACGTCACATTTTGTACTATTCTGTATTTCGCAATAAGTGACATTGCTTGGCTTCTACTCGTTTTCTGTGGTATTGTTTGCAAACACGTTCGTATGAATATTATTCGGAATTATAGTAATATTTTTCTTTTGCACCTATATTGTAAGTATATAGTTTTTATTTTGCAGTGCAAAGGACAAATGTCATGACGAAAAAGTGACATTGAAGTTTTCTGTTATTCAAACTTAGTATCTATGTAATGTTGGTTTTTTTGCGAAAAAAATTCTTCTGCAAGTTTTACTGTGGCAAAAGACAGTAATTCCGCTGCACCTGGAGTTTAGTTGGGGTTCCATAATTAGAGCACTATTTTTTTCTCCGGTCGT